AGTGAACTGTCACGACAAGCAACAGCTGTGGGATGGGAAGAGGAGGATGCGGCAAATGCGGGGCAATATACAGTGGAAGAGGAAGGACCGGAGGTTAGTAGAAGATATTTGCAAGCGACCAAATTTTTGCATTGCTGCATGTTAGATACCGCCTGCTCTTTTTCCGTATGCTCTCATAGAAAAAAACTGGCTAACTAACAGCAGGGAACCGCGATTAGATAATACTGCTGATCAGAGCCTACATGTGGATATATATGAAGTGTTGTATGCTCAATTCTAAATGAAACGCATGAGGATGACTTATAAAGGAAGTTATGAATGAGTGCGAAGAGACTGTTGTCTCGGTCACCGTTATATGCTTGGTCCTGTCTAGAGGGCAGCACAACATTGTTCATTACGATGTCCAGCAGTGACCACGAGAACTGCTAATTATAGTACCCACGTGGTCGTTCGGCGATTACGTACGTACTATAAGTACTGCATTCCTTGTGCCTTCACTACCCTTATCTGCGACGACCTCTGATGATGGGTTCGAGCAATAGTGCGAAATGATGGGCTGAAGATTTTGTTCCCGTGACCGCATCTTCTTGTGAATCCGAAATAAAGGTAACGAGAAGAGTCCCCAAAAGACAGAACGCAAGTTAGAATAGTACATTGTAGACGGGAGTAGGTGTCTACTATATAACAGTTTGCATTACGCTAAATGTCTGGGCAGCACCTATTCCCATGTTCTAACCTTGACCCTGACACCAACTTTAACCATAACCCCCCTCCCTTACAGGTAGGAGACTATTGTTGTGCCTTGCCGAACGTTATAACAAAACAATTGCATTCAAATTTGACTGGCCATCCAAAACTCTGTCTTCCCTTTGCCAGTACGACTAAGTGGTGTCGAGTAATCTAGATTGAAAGGACTATACAATTTATAATTTCCCACAGTCTTCAGTTTTGCACTTGACTTACCGTGAAACTGCATTTGACGTGGAAAAAAACGTTTCATCGAATTATTGTGAGAATTATACATCGAATAAAGGCTTATTCGCCTGGAGCTGCATTTGCTAATACTATATTAAAATTGCCCACTTGAATATGTTCTTGAGGTAGATGCGTTTTTAACTTTACAGAGGCCTCCAAATCGGCGGAATCAATTTTAACTTAGTCACCGACATCTCCTAGGTACTAGAACCGAGTATTTCCGACCAAATAAGCTGTTTTGATAACGTGGATTCTTGGCAATGCCTCCGAGAAAACCCAATAACATTTAAATTGTTCTATCTTTATAGGATCTGTCCAGTTCACGTATCTGGGAAAAACACGAGGAAATGCAGGAAGGGTCCAACGCAGGCGCAGATCGACCGGCCGCAAAAATCTCATCCTCTGGTCACGATACATCTGGAAAATGGCAGCACTTCCTGTCTACAAATCACAAAAATGAGTAGGTTACCATCCTCGTGCTTTCACTTTACCCCATTCTCCAAGTTTTCCGTAAACCGTTTTTTAGTCACTTCCTAATGAGCTGCCTCATTAGTAAATATCCCCCCTTCTGCATTATAGACCAAGATACGAAAGCGCCGCTTCATTTCCTCGATCCCTCCTCCCGTCTTCACCACATCGACCAAAGTCAGCGGACGCTGCGGGCACTCCCGGACTGTTTTCTGCCACAGAAGACCTTCTAGATTCATTGACTAGACTAGGGCATGTTTTCGAATGTGAAGCCTGTGGACTATTTTTCCGCGAGCGAGCCCTCTGGAAGACGCACAATTCACTTCACGGACCCGGTTCCGAACAGGACAGTTTTGTCTGTTCGCTTTGCGGTCAGTGCCTGTCCGATGCGTGCGCGTTCGCGCTGCACTTTGCCGAAGACCACCACGAGCACAGCCCGGGCGACCTCCGGAACAGGAGTTTGGGCGAGAACT